AAGGGCCTGTGGGTACCATTGTCCCCTTCTGAGAGTGCAAACAGCCCCTTGGGCCAGGAGTTGATCCCTCTTAGATGTCCCAACCCATGACAAATTCTAACATGGCAAGGGCACACTGCCTAAGAGGGTCCCACACCTACCCCCATTGTGTTGGAGACTACTCGTTTCCAGTATCAGGGACCACGTCACTTTATCGGTGTGAACAATTTGGGGCACGGGGAGAGGCAACATTTCGAGGTACAAGGTATAAATTATTGTCTTGGTGGATCTAGCCTGCAGTCCATCAACTAGGACTTATCATTGACTGATCCATCCACACCCCTGCAGTGCAAGAACTGAGGCTGTTGGCCAGCGGAAAGGACCCCCTGCAGAGGCATCTCTTCATCTCTGTTCCACTCTGCTGTCACTCAGCGCCACCTGCCGAAGGTCCAGCTCCCTTCACGCTTGCTCGGCTTCCCCTGCCGGACTGTAAACCCCTTCAGGGCAGGACAGACTTTATACCTCTTGGTAAGCACCACAGCTTTGAAAAGGAGTACAGTGCTTTTCCAATATAGAATGTTGGTTGTAAGAATGCTCCAGCATTACAAAAATCAAGGCCTTCTGCATTAAACAGGAAATCAAATTCATGCAAATAGCAGACTAAGAACATTCTACTGCAATCTTGTTCTCTAAAAATCAGTAATCCATCTGTTAGGTATACATGACGGATTCTCTTAACCAGAAAACTCATTTTCTGATCTCGCCTGGTAATAAAAGAAGAGCATGCTCAACTGTGTGCTTTATCTAAAATTCGGTACACGGTGCCATTCTCAAAAAGTTCAGCAGGTGACGCTCTTCTGAACTTCAGTTCCTCTGAGCACAAAGGCCATTCTTTAGTCAACACTGTGTTAGTTCTTCCAAAGAACAGTTAAGACAGCTCCCTGGGAGAAAGCCACAGGCCTCACTGCCCTTTACAAACGCTGCACTGAAGGGCCCGAATGCTCTCCTCCCCTGTGACGTAAAGGACACCAACACTTGGTAAGCCAAATTCTTCAACACCAAGACTCACAAAAGAACAGTTTCCTTTCTCATCCACAGGAGAAAACAAAAACACTCCCAATCTGATCTGTCCAGATCGCTCTTCCCCCACCTCGTTTGTCTGGTAAACTCCTACTCATCCTTCAAGTTTCAGATCAGATATCACCTCAGGAAAGCCTTCCAAGCCACCTCCCCTCCCCCAACCTGATTTAAATGCTTTCCCATCTACTGCTCTCACAGGCCCTGGAGATTCCTCAGTTATGGTATCGGCACATTGTCATGTAATGATTTCCAAGCTGCTAAAGGGTGGGGGGGAGAGGGAGTCTCTTAAAGTGTAGCCAGAAACTACCAGGATCAGAACCACCTGGGGAACTTCATAGAAATGCATATTCCTGGATCCCCACCCCAGACCTACTGAATCTGCCTTTTCATAAGCCCAACTCACAGGTGATTTTTATGCATTTTGAGAAAAACTGCATTAGAGTATGAGCTTCCAGGAAGTAAAGGCTGTGTTTTATTTTGTCTTTGCATCCTTTGTACATTGACCCCATGTGTTAAGTGTTCAAAATTTCCCTACAGTGGGATTATTCAGTAAATGCTGCAAGCCTGAGAGTCTTCTGCCTGCGCGTCTTCACAGAGTAAAATGCAAATGTGCCCAGAGAAGAGCAGTGTCTTATCTGGTCCTTGGGCTTCCTAGAAACAACCTTCAGAAAATATGCCCCAAATGGAACAACACATTAATCCTACTCCACTCTCACAAACATCGAGCAAAGCAGTCTAGGTAGTGAGAAAAATCTTCAGGTTTTCAAATCAGAAAACCAGGGTTAAGTCCTGGCCGGGTAGCTCAGTTAATGGGAGTGTCGACCTGACACACCAAGGTTGTGGGGTGGTCAGGACTTGTACAAGAATCAACCGCTGAAAGCACATGCATGGATGCGCAGAACAACAAGTTGATGTTTCTATCCCTCCCCCTTCCTCCCTCTTTAAAATCAATCAATAAAAAAAATTTCTAAAAAGAAATTCTCCCTAAAATCAAAAGGAGCCTTCTAGAAGATTTCTATTAAAAAAAAAAAAAAAAAGTAAAACAAAACAATACAAAAAAACCCTGTTTTTTTTTCTTTTCTTTTTTTTAAAAACAAACTTCAGTTCAGCCCTGGCTGGTGTGGCTCAGTGGATTGAGTGCCGCCGGCCAGTGAAGCAAAGGGTCAGTAGCTGGTTCAGATCTCCAGTCAGGGCACATGCCCGAGTTGCAGGCCAGGTCCCCAGTAGGGACTGCGTAAGAGGCAGCCACATATTGACGTTTCTGTCCCTTTCTCCTACCCTTCCTCTCTCTCTAAAAATAAATAAAATCTTTAAAAAGACAAACAAACATCAACTACCATTTCCCTAACTTGCTGAACAACTTTGGGCCAATGGCTTAACGTTTGTCAGCCTCAGCATGCACTTCTGTAGAAATAGGATCACGCTATCACATAAGACAAGGTTGTGAGTTATGTGGATTCAAAAGGAAGAAAAATATTTAAAAGTGCATACATATTAATGTATGATAAAGACTACTTCCATATAGAGTTTATGTCATTTTTTTAAAGACAGAATTATCACAAAATAATCTTTAGAAGGCTAGCTTTTACAGAGGTCCAATAAAAAACATAGTTACACTGTCAGACACATAAATGATAGAAATATAAAAAATTATGTAACCAAAATACTCAAGATTTTTATAGGCAAGGCTTGAATCACAGAAGCCTGGGCAGAAAGGGCCTTCAAGAGATCCCCTAGTTCAGCCTTCTACCAGGAACCTGTTCAGAAACAAGAGCTAAAGATTCACTTGCTGCTGTTGATCCTCTGAGATGCTCCCCACAACAACTAACCACTGCATCCTCTCCCTTGACGAGTAGAGGGTATTGGATATGCCCAATACATAAGATGAACAATACATTAGTACAGACCTGGCTGCTGTGACTCAGTGGACTGAGTGTGGGCCTGTGAACCAAAAGGTTGCTGGTTCCATTCCCAGTCGGAACACATGCCTGGGTTGTGGACAGGTCCCCAGTTGGGGGCGTGCAAGACACAACCAATCAATGTATCTCTCACACATTGAAGTTTCTGTCCCTCTTTCTCCCTCCTTTCCCCTCTCTCTAAAAATAAATAAAATCTTGTAAAAAACAGTATGTTAGTATAGCAAGCCACAGCCTCCGAATTTTGCCAACACACAATGGTAGTCACCAAATGACTGGTGCAAGAGCTCCTGTCTACCACACTCTCCACATCTGCAAAAGAATCTACCCTCTAGAGCTTTTGCTTTCCAGTACTCCTGTCTTGCATCCTTTAGGAATGAATAGATAAAAATAATAGTTATGAGTGAGTAGCTCAATTGGTTAGAGCATCATCCCAATATGCCAAGGTTGCAGGTTCAGACTGGAGTCAGGGCAAATGCAAAAATCAACCAAAGAATGCATAAGGGGAACAACAAATCAAGGTTTCTCTCTATCTCTGCCCTCCTTCCTCTCTGTCTCCCTCGAATAAATAAATAATTTTGAAACAGTTATGTTTTTTAACTAAATGACTTCTCTCAGCCAGCCAAGACGCTACTGTTCTAAAAACATTTTCTGTGAAACCCTCCCAATAACTCTTTGTGTAAGTTTTACAGTTTCCATTTCAAAGATGAGGCTCAGGGCAGGTAAGCAGGTATATCCTGACCTCAGAGGAGTGAGGATATAGACACAGGTCTTTCTGGCTCCCCAGCCCTGCTCCCCCCCTGTATCAGGCACGCTCCTCGCCAGCTGACAAAGCACGGGATCCTCCATCCGTCCCATTTCCAACACTGCTCAGAAGCCGCACCTGGGGCTCCCTCTGCCCATAGGTTAAAATGCCAGCCCTGGGGGACAGAGGAAATGCTCAAATGGGATCCCACTCTCTGTCTATCAGCTGCATCAAAGAAACACTGAAGTTCAACAAGAGCACTAATGGGATGTGTGTAGCTTTTCAGAGAATCTTACTTCTAAAAAAAATGTCAGGCAAAGCAAGGAAGATTCGCTCACCCAGGACTTTTCTGAGTGAGTTTCAACAAGCAGTCTTTAGCAGGGACTCTCTAACTAAGGCTTCTGGTCGTATCTTATCTGTGGCTTTTCCTTACCCAGGAACAGGCAACAGAGCGTGTGTGCCCCTCCCCACCCCCCTCTTACAGCCGAGGGTGGTTACAGTTACGCTTCTGCATTCCGATACAGACGTGCCTTTCAGACCAAGGAGGGGGTGGGGGTGGCCAACTCTCAGAAGCCCTGGAACAAATATTTGGCAACAGCTGTGTTCGCAGCAGACAGCAGTTGGTCCCTCGCTACTGTTTTCCCCTCCCACTCTAGGTTATCTGCTATAATGTAGTGCCCCTACTTCAAACAGTGGTTCCCAAAGCAATGAAGTCTGTTGGTTCCGAAAAGGCAGCCAGGAAAGCCAAAAGGTGGTCGATCCCACGCCCTCCCCTCTGCAGGGCCCGGGATGTCCCAGAGCCACGCAGCCCTGACCTGACAGCATTCTTCAAAGGAGAAAACCTTTGGGAACCCTTCCCTTTTAAAGAAGTTCTCCTCTCCCCATTCAGAAATCTCTGGAACTGTGAAGAAATCTCTGCTAACTAGCCAAATCAAAAAGGAGAAAGAGTAAGAGGGGATCTGATTAAGAATCCCATTCTGCCTCCCCCCCCGCCCCGCCCCCACCTCAACCTCTCAACTGTTTTCTCCATGAAGGTCTGGAACCGGTCTTAAGGTGTCTAATGGAAAATCAGAATCCCCAGAGACGCTTAGGGATGTAGAAGTAAGGAGCCACTAGCAAAGAAGAAGGAAAGACTGGAAATTTCTGTATGGGAGCTGGCCTACTGTAACTGCGAGACATTTTCTAAAAGGCTCCCTCTACCCCACAAGCAGCAGCACCATGAACGAGCTCCCACCCTTCTTCCCTTCCCAGCCCTGACCCACGCACAACCCATTGATTACCTGTCTAAGACCCAAAAGGAAAGGCATCCTGCAACAGCATCGTCCACACTAACGTTTGCAACAAAGGGCTTTTAAAAGTTAAAGTCTTGGAACGAGCATTTCCCCTGGTGGGCCTGCGTGCTGCGCGGCCGAGTTAGGCAGCCTTCCCCAGCAAAGCAGAGAAAGTAAACAGAGTCCTGGGACCAAGCAGGCACTCTCCCTCCTGCTCTCCTCGCTACTCCCCCCGCCTGGCTCCGACCCACCCCCACCTTCTCGTGACATATCTCAGACGCAGCAAAGCCGAAGCTGTCTGCCAAGGGGGAAATGACATCAGTTCAAGCACAGCAGAAAAAGCTCCAGACAGCTGCTGTGGAACCGAGGAGGATGTGCTGCAAACCCACAATGGCCAGCCCTGGACCCACCTAGAGCCGGAGCCGGCAACAGAGGACAAGCAGCCCCCGCCCCCAACAGCCCCCCTCAGCTCTGAGCAGGTTTGGGTGGACATTAACCAAGGGTCTAAAGCTGAAAAGAGCCATGTTTCTCTGAATAAGGATTGGACACTACAACCCCCAAGGTATTGTTTCTCCTCCTTGGGAAAAGAAAAACCAAGTTTCACAGAACCTTCCCACCCCTGCCCCTGCCAGAGTTGGTGTTTTAGAGCTTGCTGTCCCGACTTTCTCTAGGGATTGAGGCAGTGTGGAGAGGCACCTCTTCCCCAGCTAAGGTAGGTCATGCTACCTTGGATGCTGACCTTTTGAGCCCTCACTTCAACAGGAGAGTTTATATTTCATAAACAAATTGCACCAAGTACAGGTGCCAACATCTTTCTTCACTTGTCTTACAAAAGGTACAACAAGTCCCACTGCAGCCTCCAAGCTGCCAGTGAAGCAGATCATCTATATTTAAACCAGCTCTTGCTTCTTCAAAGTTCACCACCTTAGGTTTGTTATGCCTTCTTTTCTAAGCTCGGTTTATGGGGAAAATGGCTAACGGCAAGCTTTGCACAAAGAGCAAAGGCCCTGGGGTTGGTGTCCTGATCTGACTTTTCCTAGTCAGTGGTGGACGCCAGCTCTCCTCTGGCCACTGTTCCCTACGCAGCAGGTCACAGTAGCTCTCTCTGGACTGGAATCCTCTACCAAAGAAAACACCAGCAAAGGACAAAAGGCCTATGTTTGAACTTGGACTTGCAGAGGTAACTTCTCCTTAAGGAAAACAATCTTCAGAGGAACTTTATAAATCCAAAGTTTCTTTCTACTAACTTTGTAAGCTGCTGATTAGAGGTATATTTTCCATGACTCAAAGCAAGTATATCTATCTCATCTTATTTTCTGCAACAATTTTCCTCCAGTGATATTTATCAAAGACCTCTATGGGATTGGCACGGTGCTGGGCATAGCCCAGGTAAATCAGAACTGAGTCTTACAAAGCAGTGTCTGTCCCCCCCACCTAGGACAATAAATTAGCAGCACACAACACTTACAGCATGGTGACTTGCCAAAAGTACTTTTGGATCATTAGTGAATCCAGCCAAGCACAATGTGCTTGCTGCAGGTCTCTCCTGACGGTCAAGGTCACACTGACTTTCCTGACAAGGAAATGAATGAGCCAAGCCAGCTGAGCCATTTCCTCGAGGCTCAAGAAAAGAATGACTCCCTGTCTCACTGCTACTGAGAAAAGGGGAGATGTATACAGAGAGTGGTTTCTGCTGCTGAAGGTGTCTGGGGCCTAAGGAGCCATTCTTTAGCCTGTTTGTATTTTCAAGACAGAGTCATACAGTCTCCAGGGATGCCCAACCTTTTGGCATCTGTGGGCCACATTGGAAGAAGAGCTGTCTTGGGCTACACATCACAAAAAAATCTCATAACGTTTTAAGTAAATTTATGATTTTGTGTTGGGCCACATTCATAGCCATCCTGGGCCACATGGGATGGACACCCCTGGTCTATCCCACGCCTTGCTAGAGTCCTCACCTACATGCCAAATTGCCAGAAAGGCAGGCCTGGACATTGAGGAACAGCCACACAGGGAAGAGCGAAGAACCTGCTCTTTCTTTCTTTTAAAGTGATTGATTTTAGAGAGAGGAAGGGCGGGGGGGAAGAGAGACATATCGATTTTTGTTGTTCCGCTTACTTATGCATTCATTGGTTGACTCTTGCATGTGCCCTGACCAGGGATTGGACCCACAACACTGGAGTGTCAGGACAACACTCTAACCAACTCAGCTACCCAGTTAGGGCCCCAAAAAAGCTGTTTTCAATGTCTTCCTTTTTTTTTTTTTAAGATTTTATTTATTTACTTTTAGAGAGAAAAAGGGAAAGAGAAAGAAAGGGAGAGAAACATCAATGTGTGGTTGCCCCTTGTGCGCCCCCTACTAGGGACCCAGGCATGTGCCCTGACTGGGAATCAAACCAGTGACCCTTTGATTCACAGGCCGGCACTCAATCCACTGAGCCACACCAGCGAGGGCCAACGCCTTTCTTTCATTTCCTCAGATCCCCGGCAAAATACCTGCGCCATTATAAAGTTTGACAGCCAAACTGGAAGAAAGGCATCCTAAGCCCTTCATGGGCAACTGTGATTTGAACCTATGTAACAACACAGGGTGGCACCTGCAGTTCTCCAGAAAGAGGACCATGGCGTAAGTACACGTACTCACTTGTCCCACTCACACTGAATGCCCACAGAGTGCCAGGCACTGCTCTAAGCACTGGGGACACCATCATGAGCAAAATACCCCGGAACCCTTCCTCTGATGGACTATGGAAACATTCCCCATTTCTACACAATACTCATCATCAGTGATCTCTGAATAAGTGGAAATGCAAAAAAATTTCTAGAAATCCAAATATAACTTTGTAAAATTTCAATCTAAATGACCAAAATTGCATCATAGACTTCCCGATTTCCCCTAATGAATCATCCCTTTTATGGATGCTACTCAAGACAGCGTTTCTTCTAATCAGCATTTTTCTACTTTTTCTCCTTACAAGATTATACATTCCTGTTTGCAAGGCAGCAGTAAACCCAAAGCATTACACCTAGCACAATATCATACACTTTAACAGAGTGATTACTGACAATGGCTTCTTTTCACTAATCTGCTTCTCCTTGCCCCAGCCCACTGCTGACCAACCCTCACTGAAAACTGAGATTTTTGGGGGGCAGGGGGGATGAGAAGAAAAAGAGGCTGAACTGACAAATGCAGGCTTTCCCAGGAAAGTGACTTCATTTTTTGCCATGCCATGCAAATATTACCACAACCCAGTGACAAACTGGCTTTGGGACTTAAGAGGCAAAATAAGATGATCACTAGCAATTTCTGCCAGTCTGAAAAAAAAAAAGGGGGGGGTTCTTTTAAGTGATCCAGGCTCATATACGGTGGACCAAAGGTAAGTCAAATCCTTTATCACGATTATAGTCACCTGTCTGACAATGGAGAATTAAATTCAATGATGAATTCAACAATTTTTTTTTAAAAAAGGAACTGTCACACTAAACCAGAATTAGACAGGATTCCGTTGTCAAAATGCTGCAGTTTCACAACTGTTTATGGCCCCAAGCAGTGTCTGAGACATCTTTCTACTGATTAGCTCCCTCCTCCCCAGTTCAGAGAATCCCCAGAGACAGCAATGCTAAAACTCTTCATATTCCGATTACCTTATTATTTAAGAAGATATACTGAAAACAAAAGACACACTACAACATATACGTTCATGGCCAGTGGCATTCATTCTTTCACTGTAGTTGATTTAAGAATCTTTTGGCAACATTTTTCTAGGCAGCCTATGTATTTATAATTTTAAAATTCTGGTTCAGAGACAGGAAAAAATAGTTATTTGTTCAGCACTGACCATCAGCCAGACCCTGTGCTAGGGACTCATATAACCGAACCTCAGAGCGCGGGAACACCCCCTCGGCAATCCGCCCTCCCCCCCAGACCCCACCACAGTACTATTAACCCTACTGTTCAGCTGCAGAAACTAAGGCATGTGGAGACCTTGCCCAAGGTCACAGAGCTAGTAGTAGGACAGCAAGGATTCCTTGCTCCAAAGACTCTTTCCTTTACAGTAATACAAAAGCCATGATATTAAATCAGAAGATACTAATAGGGCAAAGACCAGAACTGAGGGTCAGTTGAATCCTGTCTATGGGACTGGCACTTAGACTGGATCTGACAGTGGAGTTCTGGAGTGTGGAGTCAGGGCCCCTGGGCCTCCGGACCCCCACGTGACCCACTCTGCAGCCAGCGTCCTGTGAGGTAAGCAACGGGAAAGCCCTGAAACTCCCTCATCTGTTCCCAGCACACAGCTGGTCCCTGCGCAAGGAGCGAGCTGGGATCTCAGGTAACCTGGTGACCTGTTCCCACACCGGGGTCACCTGGCTGGCTGCGGCTGAAGGGGGCTACGGGAGAGGGCCAGGGGATTCTGTATTTTAAAGTCAAGGAATCTGAAGAAAGAGAATTTTATCAGAACAGGACAGCAAGTTCCAGGCTTCTGGGGTATGAGATAATCTCCAGACGGCGGGCCATTTTACTTCCAGGAGCTTTGAGCAGAGACTGTGAGGCAGACACACGGTACCTGAGATAAGAGACCTTTCACATTTTTCTCAGGGTGGGCACAGGCACACTGCAATGCATTAGAGCTCTGACAAAAAAAACGAGATGTGAATACCAACTCAAACCCCAAAGCAAGGTGAATGCCACAATAATAAAAATCAAACAGAGTATCTTTTTGTCATGAATGTGGGGTTGGGCATCAGTAAAAGAATCCTGAAGTAATTTTTTTGGCGAATGCCGTGGGAAGAATTCCAAACTCGGAACAAAGATTTTCAGAACTGTGCCAAGTAGGAACGGTAAGGATGGCTTAGCTGCCGGAAGCCAAGAATACTAGTTTATCTGTGTCCTGGGGCTGGACAAAGCAGACGTTTAGCAGGCCTGCCGAGGCAAGAAAGCAAGAAAACACACTGCTCCTGGCTTCGGAGCAGCATAAGGAGCTCTACAAGTCATGGGGCTTATTTCTTCTACAGTCTCCATAAAAGCCTGTGGATGCTTTCCTACTATTGAGTCTTCCCAAAGGGAAGGCTGGGCATACAGCTCTTAAGTGCAGTATATAATCCATCACTTGCTAAACATCAAGTGATGTATTTCAGAGAGGGAAGATCCTAACATGTTGACAGCTAACACTGAACAGATGAAAAACATGAGCTTTACTCAAGTGAGGTAACCATTCAAGGACCCACACCTCA